ATTGTTCATATGAGCTTTGCCTTTGTGGCAATTCGCATTTTTGAAGCTCGGGCCTGAATTATGCCTCGGAACCTGATTGTGAAACTGAACTCCACGGTTCTTGCCTTTCTTATTCCATCGACCTCGCTTGTGGCCACGTCCTCGTTTATGATTATCACCACCAGAGGATGTGGCGTTCACTTCGAGGGAAGCAGCATTCACTTCTGGGAATGGTGCAGATCCAGTAGGTCGGGAATGATGGTTTTTCATCAGGAGCTCATCATTCTGTTCAGCTACTAAGAGCACAGATATCAGCTGGTTGTACTCAGTGTAGCCTCGCGCTCTATACTGCTGCTGCAGGAGCACGTTGGAGGCATGAAATGTGCTGAGAATCTTTGCCAGCATATGTTCCTCAGTAATAATATCCCCACAGAGCTTCATCTGAAAGGTAATTCTGAACAATGCAGAATTGTATTCTGCCACTGACTTGAAGTCTTGGATCCTTAGATGAGTCCACTCATAGTGGGCCATTGGAAGAATCACCGTTGTCTGGTGATTGTATCTGTTTCTCAAGGCATTCCAGAGAGCTAACAGATCTTCAACCGTTAAGTACTCGTTCTTTAGTGCCTCATCAAGATGGTGGCGAATGAAAATCATGGCCTTTGCCCGATCTTGAGAGGATGAGTTGCTCTCTTCCCTGATGGTATCTCCAAGATTCCCTGCTTCCAGATGGATTTTGGTATCCAGTACCCAGGTCAGGTAATTCTTCCCGGTAATATCCAGGGCAGCAAATTCAAACTTCGCCAAGTTCGCCATTTTCTTTTCTGAAAGAAAATGAAATGTGTAAGAACTTGCAATAATATGTATTCCTGGAGGAATATGATGTTAGAACTTCTGGTTCTTACAAATTTTTCTTTTTGATCTTCAGGCCAAAATGATAAACACTCGAAACTTCTGGCTCGAGATTTTCAGGGTGAATGAGAAGGGCGATCGTACCGCACCATTCTCATTGAAATAATGTAATATAGAATGGGCGATTATTCCGCACCACTCAAGTAACAGGAAAATTAAATATGCAGAGCAGTGTGGACGATTATACCGTACCATCTAAAATTGCAATGAAATTAAACAGCAGGTAAATTTATATATGCAGGGTAGGGTGGACGATTATACTGCTCCACCTAAAATTTGCAGTAAAATTAAATTTGCAGTCCAAGATAGGCGATGATACCGCACTGTCTTGGATCACAGTAAGAATAAATTTGCAGTTCAAGATGGGCGATTGTACCGCACCATCTTGGATTGCAGTGAAATTAACATAAATAAATATTGGGTTAGTAATCAATCTCTACACCAATCAAGTAATCAAATATGTATGTAACCGTTAGTTGGAGAACTAAGAGCAGGCATGGAGCAAATAGTTCGTCGCAAGGGTATAATGCGCAGTTGAGGCAGAGGAAGAAGATGAACAGTAAAAACCTTAAAGGAAACATTTTTCTTTCTTTCGGTCGTTCGTTCGGCGAAGAGAGATGAGAGAATAATTATATTTAGAGACTCGTGCTGATAACGTGTTATAAAAAAAGGTCAAAGTTTGAGAGATAACCTTTTAATGGTAGGTGCAAGGTAGATGTAAAATGCCACACTAAAAATATAGCACAGGCAGATAACAAATAAAAGGCAGAGGAATAGATGATGTTACTGATATTTTTCTCTAGTTTTTTTTCTTCTTATATTTTCTGTTACATGCGGAGTGCTCTATTTATAGAGCAACTCCAAACTGATGCAGTTAATGCATCTTGAAATTTATAACGCGTCCTTTGACAATACAATTCATTTTCCACTTTCACTTTGCATGGGCATTGAAAACTTCTGCCCATGCTAAAGAATTCTACTAATGAAACTGTGGGCATTCATTGCCCATGAGACTTTTCAACAAGGAGGATTTTTTTTGTCGTACATTTGTGCGTTTAATTTTTTTTAGATATTATTTGCGTTCTTTTATGTTTATGGATTTGGAGAGCTGCCAAGAATTAATTGATGAATTTAAATTGGTTCCAAAATCAACACTAAAAGTAAAAAAGGATGCTGAGATATTATTATTATTATTATTATTACTACAATAGAATAGTTTCTACAATTTCAGTTTTTTATTTTAAAATGAGATGTTATGAAATTAGCCTGAGGGCCAGCATCCAAATGGAATCCGGTACTCTGAAGGGCTCTCCATTTTTAATGTCCTTTTAAGAAGACATTAACATAGGTGTTCACACGTTATTGCGGGTTTCAAAAGCGCATAAAACATGCATAAAGTATTATGTATAACCATATTAGGCATGTATGAATAAAGGTTGAATTTGTAAATTTTGAAGAATATCTTTATATACAAAAAAAGAAAATGTACCCTCTTATAAATTCTGAAAATATACTAAAAGAAGAAGAAAAAAATATGAAGGCAAAATTGCATTTAGTGCCTAGTAATTTTCATAAAATGTCTATTCACATTTGCTCACAACTTGAGTGATGTCTAAAACAAATGATAGATGAGGTTATAGGTTATCACATTCACATTTCCTCACAACTTTAGTGTTATAATTCAGCATAAAACAAATTGACTGCGCAAGTAAAAATAAAAAATAAAATAAAAAACTGTTCTAACGAATCACAAATGTTAATCAGATTCTTCACAGCAAAAACATTTAGTTTACTCTAACAATCAGTAACCAATTCTCCTAAACCCTAAATCAATACTAAGCACGATTGGGACCATGGTCTTATGTCATATAATTAATTTCCTTTCAGTTGATAATTCATAGGTAATTTAGGAGACACGTACATATTTTACACAGTGGAAATCATTGTAAATGCATAATAAAAGCATCTTCAATGAAGATGTCAAAAATGGATGTCAAATGTTAATTTGATAGCTGACGTGGGAATGTTGGATTTTTTTTTTCCTCCAACCATATATATTTTTCTTAGAAATGATATCTCATAGCTTTATTTAAGACAGAATAGGGAGTAAGGCTGAAATGGCTATAGGCTTCTATTTGTAGGACCCATTTTTTAAAATAAATTTTCAAGATCTATAATTGGTACATTGATGAGACTCACATAATAAAATAATTAACAAATTTGACATATGAAAATTCATATGTCAATCCACATAGGATTGACATATCAGTTGGAGTTTGCTTCTACCTTCAAATTTGATTACATGACATTTCACTTAGGATTTGTCATCTCCTTGCTAAGATGTTTTAAGTGTAAAAGATTAAAAAAAGTCAAATGCGTTTAGGTATTTTTTTTCCTTTGAGATACAAATAATTAAGATTAGCAGAAGAATGAAAATGTCCTTAATGGACTGCAATTCAGATACAATTTGATTTGAAGCACCCAAACAATTCAAAAAACGCTTGAAAGATGAAATTCAGATATAATCTGCAACTCATTCACATGAGTCACAGTATTTCGGGACTGGATTTTGGGTTTTGGGCTGAAATTTGAGAGTTTTGGGCTTTGTTCTAAAATTTGGGCTTTTGAACTAAATTTTTGTCACCCAATTTCATATCGATTGAAATTTAGGCTTTTTACCTCATACCAATTGAAATACCAATTCATTCATACCATCTAAAGTTCCAAAGTTCCAAACTAGGGGTGGGCAAACAGGTCCTGGACTCTCGGGTCAGGGCGGGTACATGCGGTTCGGGGCAGGTACGGGGTGGATCCAAAAATTCGAAACACAAAATGGGGTGGGGCGGGACGGGACGGGTCCAAAAATAAGAAGGAACGGGCCCCCGGCCCGACCCGTTTGTAGTATGCAATAATGGATTGGAATTGGATTAGAGCGATGCTATAGCCCACTAGCCCTTGACTTACAAGGTCACCCACCATATTGGACCAGATTTGGGAGGCCCTCAAGAAGGTCTCTATAACCAATACGTGTCAAAGCATGCGTCGAGTTCTCGCCAACAGTCACCCAGACCTCAAAGACTTTCAGCTCTCCAGCTTTTTTATCCCATCATCTGATTTCAAAGACTTAATTATATGGTTTAATTAAATCCAACTCTCCAACTTTTTTATCCCCTCATCTGATCTCAAAGACTTTCATCAATCTCCCATTTTCCATTCATTCACACTTAAGCATGCGTCGAGTTCTCGACAACAGTCACCCAGACCATCACCGCCTCACGACCACCACAATTGCGTCGCCCTCGAGCTCTTGCTGAAGTCGCTGGACCGTCAGATCTCTGCCGTTGACCACCCAATATCGTCCGACTCCGCTGATTTTGCGGCATTGTTGACTCAATCTACTACATCATTGCCACGATCCAGAACTAGGATAGACTCTCATGGCCGCCGACTAGTCCGTCGGCGTTGCGCATGTGGGATAGACTCCCTAACTCGTCTTCTCCTCTCTCTTTGACTTTTCTTTTCTGGGTTTTTTATGGTTATGATTTTGTGTTGGTTGGGTTTTTTTTATGGTTCTGATTTTTCTCCTTCTCCTCTCTCCCAGATGACTAAGGAAGACGACTTGAACGGTCTAAGCTGCATCTGGGTTGTCGCAGAGGAAACGGGTTCGACGACTGAGGAAGACGACTTGAACGACGTCGTCCCCTTCTATGTTGATGAAAAAAAATGTAATAGGAACCGTGGACCGCCCCAAATCGGCCCGTTTCAAACGGGCTGGGTTAAGTCCAGTTCTAAAACTCTAAAGCTCTCTACCCGGCCCGTGCCTAGCCCTATTCCAAACTACTTAATTTCATACTTCTATTTCTAATATAGTCTACTATAAATTCAACACTTATGCAACTAAAATAAATAAATATATATATATGTCGGTTCGTTTTGGGATTCCTAAACCATTGAATATGTAATCCCGATTCCAGTACCTAAAGGTTCGAGATCAATTCAGTATAAAGTCCCGAAAATTTTGGTATTATTGATTTGAGAATTTTTCGGTATTGGATTGGGATTTTTTTTTTTTTTTTTTTTTTTGTTTGGTTTCGAATTTTAGGTAAAAATTCCAGTGAAAAAATAAAATAAAATAAAAAATGCGACTTTTCAGCATACGGTATATGCCAAAAGGACAGATTATACAAATAGGACAGCCCCACGAGATATTTTTCTTTTAGCCCTTTGTTCAATGGAGTCTCAACGCGTTGGCTCCCCATGTTCCTTCCAATAATGGTTCAACTCTTTCATTCAACCTTGATCATCACCACCACCATATCACTCTTGCAGAGTTGTAGTAGTTGCAGGAAATTTTAGCTTGAGCTCATTTGGCCGATTCTTCAAGTCCGAGTCTCCGAGGAGAGTATCCGGAAAATGTATGAGCCAGTTATACATAGTGTTCCCCTATTCATATGTACGGGAGGCCTCATTCGTACATGATAGACCTCGCGTACATGTTTCGAGAGGAAGGTTATACACATGTAAAACCTCGTCCGAACAATATCCGATGCCCTTGTAACATCGTACCGTTGGAGAAAAAAGGGCTCCAATCATGGTTTTGGGGGTGGCCGGAGTTCACTTCTACAATGAGTGAGGGGACTCGAGGAGTTAATGGCAGTGTGATTATGCTTTACCTTGCAAACCGGCTGGGGACTCGAGGTGTGGGAACGACTACATCTCGACCAGATTTCATCAAAGCGAGGCGATCCTTGATTGTGTTGTCAAACAATCTGTTGTCTGGATTCTCTGCATAGCAAACAAAGTAACTACCTACACAAGCATGTGGTAGTGCCATGGCTATCCTCGTCTGGAAAAAGCATATTAATAGAAATTGGTTAGGTTAAGGTGTTAATTAGGTATTTAAATAACTAATAAGCAACAAAGATTAAAGAATTAACAAGTTGATCACATCGTTCATATGCATAAAATGAATAATAGAGAAAGAAAAGTGACCAACCATAAGGTATCCAATGAAGAATGTAAGGAGGGAAATGGTGGCTGTGAAACTTTGGTGCACTCTAGCGGTCCAAGCCGCCACAACTATGACACAGATAGAGCCGCTGCAGACGCCGGTTAGGAAGCAGATTGAGCTGGTAATGTCAGAATCAACAATTGGTTCCATTTCTTGCCGTTCAAAGAGCTCCCAGGTGTCTTGTGATGCCCTCACAAAACCTTTCCCATATACTGCTATCTGCAGCAATTGGCCATATTGTGTTACTGAAATATTGATCAGCTGGCAAAACTAGTGTACTTTGCTAGGCAAAATAAGGACTCGTTTGGAAGTATTTTCAAAATGGCTGAAAACGTTTTTGGTAATGGTTTTTGGTACCAATCCTTAGCAAAAATGGAAGTGAATTTTGGAAAAGCAATTGAAGTGCTTTCTGCAAGAAGCACTTGGCTGGTATGCAAACGGAATCACAAAGTCACTTGACAATGGCTTATAAACGTACCTGTATGAAGGCCCAGCCGTTGCCATATCTGAAGATGCACTCCATGACTTTGAGACAGCAATGTGCACAAGAAAACATGAACTCATCTTCTCCCTTGAGTAAATTTAAAGCCCGAGCAACAATTCTCAGTGCTTCAATTGCAGGTACAAAGAGTGAACCCAAACAAGCACTTCCAAGATTTTTACTCAAGGCTCTCTGGAAGCAAAATTGAGTATTAGATTGCATTCCTCTGAGATAATAAAGAGAAATTACCCTACTGACGGTCATATTTGCAACGTTCCTCATTACTTCAGCTGTCCAAGCTAAGCTCAAGACCAATAAAATTATGATCAGTGGAGGAAAGTAGAAATTCAAGGCTCCAATCACAGCTAGAATCCACAGGGACATCCACAGAAATCCGACCCCAAGCATCCAATAAGTGGGTTGATTCAAATCGGGGAACTTTGATACGGGTTCGAGCGATTTGATCATTATCTTGCTACAAAATCCTATCCGCTGTGTGATCCAACAAGCGTATAAGCCATTGCCTATCGCAAATGCAATAAAGCAGAATGCAACGCCATCAGTGGGAGCCTTTTGGAAGCAAATTAGCAAAATTCCAGCAGACAGAGACATGACAAAAGTGGTCCATAGTATGAAATGAATAAAAAACTTAGGCCATAGCCTGACTGCCTTTTGCCATGCAAATGCAAGAACAATGCTTAAAAGAGATGCAGCTTCGACTTGTGGTAGAAAAAACTTCAACACTCGTTTCTCGGCTCTTTTAACCTTGTTGTCTGATGCTTCTATCAGCCCTTGAACTCCCCTGAACAGAAGGAAACCGACTAGCCCAATGGCTGCAACCATGTGCAGAAGAAACAGAAACAGAGATATCTTGTTGGTGTATTTTCTTGAATTCAGTGTTGTAAAAGATGGCTGTCAAAAAATTGAGACAAAACCCATTAAAATATCAGATTGATAACTCAAAATTCTCCCCAAAAAAATCATGCTCTACCAGATAAATGGCTGCCAAACTGATTAAAAATATTTGGGACCACAAGTTCTGCAATTAATCTTTTTATGTCACTAAATGGGATCGGCTGCATGAACCCTAAAACGCCACAATGCTCGGTTTTGTGCCAAGTCTCAATCTCATTAAACAAGTCCCAGAAAAATGGCTTTTATCATTTCCTTACCAAACTCATCAAAGATATTTAGGATAAAAATAACACATATCGCAAAATTTCAAGATTAAAAATGAGATATCTTTGTTTAATCTTTCTTAAACATCACTTAATTGACAAAGTCTTATACCACGAAATGGGTCAGCTATATGAACCTAGAACATTACTGCACTCGGTTTTGCTTCAAGTCTCAATCTCAATAAACAAGTCCCAGAAAAATGATATGTATCATTTCCTTTCCACACTAACCAAGGATATTTAGGGAACATATATATAAATCTCAAATTTTCAAGAATAAAAATGAGATATCTTTGTTTAATCTTTCTTAAGCATCACTTAATTAACTTGAAAATCACTCAAATTGCTTTAAAATTACAACTGAAGAAAGTTGGTATCCTAAGTTGTTTAAGAACTTTAATTTTGTTTTAATGAGGAAGATTAATTAAAAAAAAAAAAAAGGAAAACTTACTTGTGGGTTTGGTGTCGAACGAGGCTGAGAATGCTGGGGAGTGTTGGTGTGAGAGGATAACTGAGGAGGGGAAGGAGTAGCAGTAGCACCACCATGACCACCACCACCGCTTCTGATATTAGAGAACCGAGACGGCGGCGGCGGCGGAGTTGCAGCTCTGGTTTTGCTATTTATTACAATTCTCAAAGGGTTTGTTGGATTCAGCCTCTGCAGCATTGACACATGAACATCTCCTTCTCTCTCGTCCTGATTAATATTATTATTTCCACGATTAATATTAATATTAATATTTCTCTCAGCTGCCACCGCCTGTTCTTCAAAACCCACCTCCCCTTTCTCAACATCTCTCACATCCTCCTCCTCCTTCCTCCCATAGTCCTCTCTCTCCTCAAGCTCCTTTCTTTCTCTCTCCTCCACCTACATGCCACAGCAAAGTTCGGACCTTTTGGCATTAATTGAAATGTACACAGAGCTAATAATAAACAAAAAAAATAAATAAATAAACAGCAGAAAAGAAATGAGAAAGATAGGTTGCTTTACAGGCTCTGCGGCACCCATGCCGGCGGTATGACGTGACACCGGTGTCAGCGGCGGTGTTGTTGTCTGGAATGTTTCGTGGTTTGTAAGTAGTTGTGTATTTATCTCTCCGAAATCTATCTATCTATCCATGGTTGTGGTGGTGCTGTTACTGGTGCCGGTGGATGCTGACTCTTCGCTCCTAGTTTTCACAAACGTAAATACTTACCTCAGAGGATCTGACTGTGTGGGACCCGTCCAGTCGTAGCATAGATATGGCTAACGTGCTCCAGTGGCGCGTGTGTGACTTTGACCAATGAGAGAGGGCCTGGTGGGTTCATGTCAGATTGAGGTTGAAGCACGTTTAAAATAGAGTTTTTTCTGCGGTTGGTGTCTGGGAGTGATTGTGAAATAAAAGCAGCCTCTACTGGTAAACGATCAATGTTTTCATTAACGTTTGAAATATGTGCTTTTTTTAAAAGTGCTTATGGAAAACTGGTAACTTCTATGTGAAAGATGGTGACAAACACGGAAATTTCTTCAATACTATTTATCAATCAATGAATCATATGGGAAGAAATTACAAACATTAATAACGAAATATTTCTAACAAAAAATATGAAAATTTTAAATAGTTATAAAAAATTAAATTTAATAATAAAACACTTGTAACATTAAATGTTATGCAGCATTAACCTTATAAACTTTTTTAGTTGCAAAAACAATTTTGAGCCGTACAGACACAATTGTTTCAAATTGCATATATACTTATAAATGAAATCAACATTAACTTATTCTGAAATATAAAACTATTTATTGACCTAAATTAAATTTAGGGGTGTGATATTCACACACCTCATTTTACTTTTCACACACCCTTCTAATTTTCTGTCGTTGGATCAGATGAATCGAAGAAAATCAACGGATAACAATTAACAAGGGGTGTGTAAGAAGTAAAAGCACACCCCCTAAATTTAATGATAAACTCACATTTTTGTTCCCCTTACATGGCCATGATAGGATTAAAAGCACACCACAAAGTAGCACACAAATGTCCCATTAATTTTCCTTATTAACAATAAGATTTGTCAATTGTAGCATATGAAAATAAGGGTCTTTCCTGCAGAAGATTGTTTTATCTAACTACTTAAAATGTCACAAAAACTGGGTTGTTGTCCCTACTGACCAGCCACCGAAAAATAATTATTAGACCGACTTACACTTATCTAAAGTCTACGAAATTTTATATGCAAATACTAGACACACAGAGCTACACTCACACAAATTTTTGGGATTTTTCGAGTTGATTTGCTATTTAAATTAAATCGAACAAAAACAGGACAAAAACAGATTTTTAAGTAGTTCACAAATTAAGAAAAAACGAGTTAGGAGAATTGCTATCCACCACCAAATAATCATGCAAACATGTTATGTTTCATTCAAATTCCTTTCATTTTTGGATGAAGATGCTCAAGTTGGCTCAATGTGTAGAACTCAACCTATTACTCTTTCTTATGTAGTATGTTAAGAGAATGACGTTTTCAACTTAACTTAGTCTCTAACATGCAATCTCGAATGGTGTGTTCATAGATTTAATAAGTAGAAATCATTAAGAACGAAAAGAGTTTGAGTCATCACAAGGCATCGTAAGTACTAGCGTTGTCTTACTAATCCTAGAAATTGGTTCACATGTTAATCACAATTAACCAGTACTACTCTAGAACATATGTAGGTCCTCATTTGACAAGGCCAGACACACACATATTCATAGCATTAGAATCCTAGATATTCTTACTAAGTATGCATCCGTAGAAAACACATAAAGAATTCATCAATGAGACAAGTAGTGAACCAATTTTCATCCATTCATAAAAGTAATTCAAACGAAATGTCATAACAAACTTGCAATCATATTTGGGGCTTCAAAACAGCCCCTAACTACTAAAAATTAGTTACACATAATTCTCAAATTAAACCAAAAGAAAGACATGAGTTTGAAAAGATAAAACCGAAAGAAGAGAATGACAAGATTTCCTCCTTCCTTTCCTTCCTTCCCCAACGCAGCAGCCTTGCCTTTTTTCCTTGCTTTCCTTCCTTTTTTCTATCTTTTTTTCCACTTTTTTTTCCCTCTTTGCTGCTGCAACCTGTAGCCCTTTTCTTCTTTTCTGCTGCCACAGTTTTTTCTCCATAACTCACCCCACTAACAGCCATTTAGTGATGACAATAAGTGAGAGGAAATGCTAAAACAATTGTAACTCTTTGGGCAGCCTTTATGCCCTTTACTCTCACTTAATTTTCCATTTCCTCTGATATTTGAATAGGTGTTAGCTGACTTGTTCTTGGCTGCATCAGTTTTGGCTGTTAGTTTTATGAGATTTATTGCTTTCAATGTTTTCTTGTCAGTTACAAACTGCTCAGCCTCTTGGGAACCTTTCAAAGTTAAAATGGTCATAACTTTTTCTAGAAAAATGATATTAACAATCCGCGAAATGCTCCAACAAATAGACATCTGTAGTTTTCCAAGCATATAAGGCTAATTGTCTAATTCATTCTAAGTTGTCCGCAACTTGCTTTCAAAGTCAGCTGACGTGCACATGCAATTTTGACGAATTTGTTACTTAAAATTCCACTTGTGCTATTTTTCTTTTCTTTACTTGACAAATCCTACAAAACACAAAAAACAAAGTAAATAGCTAAAAAATATAAGGAACTAACTAAGAAAAGACAAGTGAATTTGATATAAAATATATATAGATATGAGCTTATCAGGCCACTACAAGCCCAAGTTTAATATTGTTCTTTATTTTCGTTTAATTTATTCAATTTGTTGGCTAAAAATAAAAATTAGTATTTGAGACAGTAGAGAGGGTGTGTGAAGATATGCTGTTTATTTTCAAACAACCCTCAATGCATAGAGAAACTTTCTTGAAACACCACCAATAATATAGATAAGTGTCATCAGTTGTATGAGAAAATTCATTCTCATCTTCAAATGAGTTGTCAAATTTTAAACATAAAATTCAAATTCTGCAGATTATGTGGTACTTTGACATTTTTAAAGTTGTATTCTTCACTCGATATATCAAATTAAATTATTATTTTATTATATTATTTTATTTTCAAAATTTCTGATTTATGTTTTAGAAGTTACATTTATATATAGCTCATAATAAAAATTCTTAAGAAGATATGTGTGCTGAAGCTACAAATACGAAGAAGCTACAGGATGCGTGTTGCCCTCTTGTCAATCAAATACGAAGAAGCTGCAATGTGTGTTGAAGCTGCAATTCGATACATCTGCAAACTCATTGGCCATTTAAATTAATATAAATTCAGTCTAAATAAAAGCAGACATGAAACTTCATAAACACATTAATTAATCAATAAAATACATTAAATAATTAATTAAAAAAATTTGAAGCTGCTGTCAATTTTGTCAACAAGGGTGACATATGTCAATCCATGTTATGCTACATCAGATTTAGATTTTCGGTTAGAAAATATTGTTGCTATCTTGTTTGACGGTTAGTGCTAAGTTGAACATTTTGACATCTTTTTTGAAAATAGTTGAAGGATTTAGACTAACGGAAGTTTGAATTTTGTGGTTGCGGAATTATTGGATGGATGAGATGAAATTATAAAAATGAGTAATGGTGGCATGAGAAGCAAAGCATTGACTTTTGTGTTAGAAAAGGAGAAAGAGACGTATGCAAAAAGGGAACAAAAACCTACCTTATCGTATGCTTGTGTTTTTGTTACATGAAATTTCATGAATTGCTTACGTTTACCAATTGGGAACAAACAAGCAAACAAAGTATACATTTAGTCCTCAAATTAAATTAGGTCATCATGATTTATGACCATTACCAATAAAGTTGTGTTCAACATTTAGGAAAAAAATGAAACCGCTGAAGTGGTGTTCGCTCATTGGTGGCTCAAGTGTGTTAACACGAGGTTTATTTATATTTCGGTCAAATTGGATTAATTATGATTAAACTCTTATAGTGAAAGACGGTTAGGAATTTTAACTCAAAAATGTAATTTCTATTAAAAGTCTGTTAGAAATAAGGGTAGTATTGTATTTTTTGGCCCCAACTAGCATAAAAAACAAATAAAAATAAAAAATATTTAATTTTACAAAAATAGAAAGAAAAAAATTACCAATTCAAAGCTCACAACCGCCATAACCTCCTCATTCACGCCCAAATTCCCCATATCCCAAAATTCTCAATCTTCTTATCGCTTTGATTAGTGATTTCTTAATAGCAATATGAGTAGTTCAAGGAGTGAGGATCCTCGCCGGATCCTCTTTGTGAGAATCCCAAGGATTCTCCAATCACATCTGTTTATCGTACATCATGCGGTTAGTGTTCATTAAGTACTATTTATATTCAATTTTAAATAAAAGAATTTACAATAATTTTTTACCACACGATGTACGATGAACGGATGTGATTTGAGGATTTCCGGAATCCTCACTCTAGTTCAAGCGATGGTTTATTGGTCCTTAATCTTAAAAAAAATGTGGTTAGCTCGCCGATTCATATCTAAAAGCAACGAGACACACAAGAACAAAGAGAGGAGAGGAAAATGTTGAGAAAAGCGACAACAACGATGAATGGTCGGACCCATCACCAAAGTTCATGTTGTTGATCAATGAAGATGTTGGGGTGTAGATTGTATAGTTTTTCAGCAATAGCCATACTATTATAACGGTAATATTTGGGAGATTAAATTTAAAGACAAAATTTTGAAAATTAAATAACTAAAAATTGATAATTGATTTATTACCTGATAAATATATTCATTTATATTGATGACACATTTTTTAATTTAGAACTTTTGTCTTTATATTTAATCATTTTAAGAGTATTCCCCGTATAATAATTTAAGACGAAATACTTAAAAGGTGAACTCTTTAATATATTTCATCTTATTAGTCAAGACTCAAAAATATTATTGTTCTTTACTGCGCGCATCACTTATTTTTCGATGCAAGTCGAGTAAAATCTCCAAAGTTCTACATACCACCCTGTTGGCCTGCAGCAAAAGTTGAAGTTGAAAAGTAAAACTTGAAAACAGTCAAGGCGAAACTAGAGATCTATTTGGACAAGAAACTCCACATGGATGTGACAGACCATCTGGCGGGCCCCCTCTTCGGTGAGAAGGTGTAAACGTGTTGAGGTTAGTGGGCCTGGGCCTTCAGATGGATGACTCAGATACACCTCAACGTCTGTATTGAAGGACAGAAAATGACAAGTATTACACAGTAGAGATAGACAGCACCACTTTTTTTTTTAATTATTATTTAATATACGATATTGTCTACACTGAATGAAAGGAATATGCCTAATTTCATAATGTGCTAGCAATAATATGATTCAAATTCGCCTTTAGCGAGAATCGAACCTAAAATTTCTCACTTGCTAGTGAAGAAGAATACCACTAGATCGTAGTACTAACTTTTAAGTAGCAGGGAGCACCAATATTAGAATAAACATTTTTTTACTTATAAGTAAAAGATTTCAGATTCAATTTACATGAATAACAATGACATATTATATTTTTGTGATGTTTAATATCTAGTTTGTGACTAGCCCGTTGTGTGGTCTAGGCCAAATATCCCTCCATTAGAGTAGAACATCGTTGTATTGAAAGAAAAAAAAATCAAAAAGTGAAAGATTCATGGTTTGACTCAAATTAATGACGATTTCAATAAATTATAATCTTTTTGTTAAATTTGATAGACAAATATGACCAACTCTTTTTGTGGCTAGGGTATAAGACCCCGTTTGATTTCACAATAATATAGCTTTAGCCCAATCCTCCTCTTCCTAAAATCCTAGGGTATAAGACCCCGTTTGATTTCACAATAATATAGCTTTAGCCCAATCCTCCTCCTCCTAGAGTCCTAGGGTATAAGACCCGTTTGATTTCACCATAATATAGTAGCGACATTAGTAGTGCTATGATGAAATCATACTAAACGGACCTTAATAGTATGCAAAAGAAAAAACAGAAAAAGCCAATCCAATTTATCCCAATTTATCGTAGTCGATAAGTTAACATGTTGACTACCAATTATCAACCCAATGGGTTGATTTGTCACATTCTCAAATGTTTCACGGCATTATATTAGATGAATCAATATGTTGTACTGGAAATGACACAAACAAGTCACAATTACCATCCCAAAACTTTGAAGCCTAATCAAATGATACAAACTACATAACGGGTTGGAGCGGGACACGAAATCTAACACGACCACAACATAAACACCACAAAATTTTCAACCACAGTTTGTTTCAAGTGTTTCCTGACAACCTATCACTCTCCGCATCCAAAGTTCCGCAAGCTTTGGAAACTAATATCGCTTTGTAGTGTTACCGGATTCTTGAGGTGTTTTGACAATACTTAATTGACCGCCTTCCTTGTTTGCAGCGGTGGCCGCCTTCATCTCATTGCAGTGGTTTATGAACTTTGTCATCTCCTAAATCCATCAGATAAGAAAGCAAGAAGTAAGAACTTAGAAGCAAGAAGAGATGTAAAGAAAAGTGCTAGTTTTCATAAAGGAGATACCAATCGACATCCGTATAAAGAAATAATGGACCCACGGCATAATATGAAATGAATCGGGAGTGAAAGTTGCACACAAAATGATAGGGTTCCGCATCCTATATATTCAAAAACAGATAAATGCCGAAGGAATCCAGGAGCACATCAAACACGTTACAACGAGATAAATATTCAGATTAGTGAATTTGAATGTATTTTTAGGGAGGGATTGACTCAACAATATATCTGGTTACTAGCACCTACTTCAAAGGGTTTCTGTACTAATAGGGATATAGCACGGTGACTAGAACCCCCAACTTCCCACACTACAGTCCTCTCGTCTCTACAAACCTCATATGACATCAACAAATTTCCGGTACTCGGTAATTATGACAATAGATGGACGACAGAAAATATAATCCACAATTTACTAACTTAAGAAAATATGTTATGCATTGGCACAAATGCCAAAATAGCACCACGGTTCCTAGGAAATAAATAGACTAGCTACACTCAATATCATTTAAGATTTGGGGGAACAATGTCAGCTTATTAACATTTGACGTAGCAAGCAACATACTACTGTAGTTGAAAAAATGGAAACAAACAGAACGCCTGTTGCTATTTACTTCCGACGCACGGCTGGAAATCCATAGTAGAAGTTGTAGCATACAGTTGTTTTTTCAAGTTATTCCATACACTGGTGAAACATAAACTTCACCCCTCCCCTCCCCTCCCCTCCCCTCACACTTTTTCTTTTGTCTTTCGCTCTATAAATAAGTCAACACAAGATGTTGATATTGCTTAATCATGACCGTTCAAATAGAAGGGGAGGGGAGGGAAGGGGAGGGAAATTTAGAGGGGATATAATCCTACTCCCAATAAAAGAGGTAAGAAAGGAAATGAATCACAACAGAGTTTGGGCCTGTTTACGATTCCTTATATGGAAAGCACTTCTGCTAGAAGCGCTTTCTACAAGCCCAAAGCACTAATATTTTTTCCGCCAAACGCAATCAAAAGTGTTTTTGGCTGTCCTAAAGCACTTTCGGGCCTCTAGAAGCAATCCCAAACAAAATCCTACGGAAACATCAGTGCAAGAGGATTTGATTTTTCCTGATAAATGAACCCAAAGAAAGACATAACCTGCTATCCTCAGAGAAAAAACTGCACTTTAGAGCAATGCCTTAATCAAATGTGCCCCAAACAAATACTCTCAAATCAATCTATTTAACTCCATTATTACTAATTCTAACTAATAATGAAGAATCACTAAATGAGACTGAAATTAATCAAACAACAAATGAAATAAAACGTGTAGCGGAAAGCAATAATGCAGATTCGATCCCTACCGGTCTCCCTCCCGCTTACCATTTAAGAATTTAACCCACTAACGCTAACGTTTGTAAAAAATAAAATGAAATAAAACAAAACTGTCAATTTTCAATTTTCCATGGTTACATACAATTAGGGTTCACCGGAAGCAGCACAAAAATTGATAATTCTGGGCTAAAATTAATCACCAATCAAATCAAATAAAACAAAATCATGAGAGAGAAGGGAAAAAACATACCCGATCGGAATCCATCTCACCGGTGACCTTCGACGGCTTGATTACTCGCTTGCCTTTGCGAATTTGAGTCATTTTTCCATGGCGGTTGGGAGGAATCGTTTTCCTCTTCTGCTGCCCTTTGAACAGCTTCCCTTTCTGCGTCATCTCTCTCTTCCTATTTCTCACTTCTCTCTCTTCAGCGCCTCTGCTGCTTTTTTCCTTTTCTAGTCGGACTCTACTAGGGTTTTGTTCGGGAATAAGATCCTTTCCAAAATCCTTGGGATCCGAAAGATTAATTAATAATCTCCGTTTATTATACATTATATCGTTATAAATTATTTTAAATTTTTTATTAAAAATTAATATAAATAAAATTTAACGAAAATTGATCGTACGATGTATAATATACGAACACGATTAATTGATTTTCTAATTTCCATAAAGAAGATTCGGACAGTTTCCTCATCCTTTGTTCAGGGCTTTTGGTTTGCGTAATTCTCCGTGCACCCAATGACATGCTTCAAAAACCTAACATTCCAAATAAATCTCAGATTCCCAGATTTACCCCTGTGATTGAATAATCTAAATTACATTTTCCATCGTCTATATTAATGCTATTTTCAATTTTATCCTCTCAATTTTTGTTTTATGATATAACGAAATATTTTTATCTACGGGTGGGAAAATCTATTGGTATAGAACTCGTTGCCACATTATTCATACTTAAAACGTCTTAAGGTGAAGAGAAATAATAAATCGTAATACTAAATGATCATTTTATCCTCCTAATGAGTGGTTACCTTATAGTCAAACAATTATTAATCTAATTTTTGGATTGCAAATTTTCATTCCTATTGATAAGTGTATCTTAATATTACCGTTCAATGATATTCTTCTTCCTTTGTAAAATGGAAGTTTTAGGTTCAATTCCATCCCAAACCACCCATATAAATCCTACACGTACACCTCCCTCCTCCCTCCCCTTCCCCATCACCCAATCACTATAAATAGTTAAGAACACTTGGGAGTCGAAAAAAAGTATCACGGTTCCTTTCGACTTGGTCGTCGCACTGTGTATAAATGAATGGGAACAGTGTGTGTTTATTATTATTTTTAACTGCACCTCGACTGATATTACAAACCTTCAATTTGCGCTGCATCAGATGTTAGAATTAAGTCAATGTGAACCTGGAAGAACTGCTCATTCTTCTAGTGTTTCTATAGTTTGATTGCATTGTGTATGTGTATGGATAGGGATATGACAGGAACATATTTTAATCTTACTCATTCAGGTGATAATTACTATATTTTTAGCTTAACTTGTACCTCCGATGCTTATATTGCCAGATTATGAATCTAGACCATCTATCTGGTTTATTTTTAGGATCTAGCAACGTTTGTCTGGTATTACAAGTCTAGCAAGAGCATTACTCTTTATATATATTCAGCAGAAAATAAAGAAGCAATCAAATGATCTCCCTATTTCTAGCAATGTCTTCGACTTTCTTTTATGTCCTTTTTCCTTATGTTGGTTCAGATTATTTCCAAATACACCAACTTGAGCCGAATGCAGACAACATATAGTCTATGAGGGAGACGCATCACCTTCCTTTGGAGCAATTCAACTAATTAAGATAAATGATTATGCTTGCCGTGTTGGCTCCGCTATATATGTACGCCGAGAAAGTGCCCCTTTTGGATTATGTGACTAGGAAGCTCACTGACTTCACAACTCACTACTCATTCATATTTGTTTACACAAGGTAACTTTAGAGTTTCGGTGATCAATTATCGTATTGGATAATATATCTAGATTTTGAGACTTTTGAGTACTTTGAGTGCACGCAAGTTTTCGAGCGTGGTTGTATCTATAGAGACTTCCATCCTTTACAATATATAGGTGTGCACTTGGAACTGAAAACTGAAATCAAAACATGGATCAAGCCAAGTCGCACCAGACGGTTCGATTTTTACTATTTTGAAACAGTTTTGGTTTGAAACCTAACTGCAAGATACAAAAAGTGTTTGGTTGAAACCTAAATGCCTTATCCAGCATGTTCACAAGCACTACTATGTTTTACTATTTACGCGATGAACAAAAGTTGGTCGTGCAAAGTGTATTTGCGTCACACGAACTTCTGCGCGCAGAATCCATCTCACAAAGAACGTGAAGAAAGACTTTGCGCGACGAAAAACATCATTGGTCGCAAGAACACAGAGCAACGGTTTAACCTTCATCGCACAAAATTTTTAGGAACAAATGCGTTCGTCACACAAAATACCATGATACAAACGTGGGACGACTAATATTCATCATGCAAGTACATCTTGTTTGCGCAACAAAACAATTTTTTTCGTCGTGCTAGTACGTCTTGTGCGATGAAATTTTGTTCGTTGTGCAAAATATCATCGTGCAAGCTGTTTTTTCTACTAGTGAAGCTCAAAACCTCCTAAATCTTCAAAGAATAAGTATCCAAGATGAAAGGGGTCAAAAAATGGTTGAACAATTCAAAGTTTCAAAGTAGAGACTTGAAACACCAAATTTTTTCTGTTGAATTGCATAAAACCATAAACAAAGTAGTTCTCAGTCGTTAAATAACTGGTCATTTTGGATTTACCCGTTATCGCCCATTAATTGAGGGTATTTCTATGATTTCAATAAAGACAAAACCTAATGTGTCACTCCTCACTAAGTTCCCCTTCAACTATGAGACAAAGTCACAAAGCTATCCCTCGGCTGCCTCGTCTACACCCATTTTTCTTCCTTAAGGGACTAGAGTTTTGTTTGCAATTCTCTCTTTCTGTATCCCTCTTCCCTCAATCTTTATGGTCATATGTTGTTTTCAGAAATTGGGAAGTAATTTCTTTCTGGAGTTATATGGTTTTGCTTCCGATTGAATCTGCTTTGTAATCATCCTCGAAAACAAGATATGGGTTGTCCGTATTTTTTTCTCCTCCCTTTGGTAGGTTGGTGCTTATTTTTCATATTCTTATACGTTCAATTTTTAAATTATGTAGTTATAGATGTTGTTTCTCTTTTTTGAAGTGTTAACTTGAAGTTAATTTCAAAGATTAAGACGACATATAGCTTGAAGATGATTATGCTTCTACTTATTTAGATTATTGGGTTTTGTCCATTTTTGCATAGCTTGCGGTGGTATAGAAATTAATGTGATGGTAAAATCGTTTATTGGAATATGATTGTTGCTGGTTATGCGCAAAACGAGTAGTTGTTTTGTTTCTGTATAGTGATTGTTGTTGATTATGAGTGAATCAAGGAAGCATAGAGATTGTTGTTGTGCAGAATCACAGAACTATAAAGAAAGTTGAAGTTCCACTATAAAACTAAGTGGCAATATAAAGAGTAACACAAATTACTTATAAGCTTATACAATGTCCATTTTTTCATCAACGTAAGATTCATTTTCAACAGAATCATCGATTATACAAAACATGTAATCTTGTACAAAGTTTCTTACCTTTATTTAAACTCTCTCTTTTAGGGATACTTATATTTTCAAAGGCGGCCTTGAATACAACAACCCCAGCCGCTCTCTCCATTTTCTCTCTCGCATAGAGTAAGTCACAAACTAGTTCTCAACATCGTTGACTCCTTCCTTGGGTTGGGGCCGGCTGGCAACCTCTTCCCCCTATTATCTTTTTCTTTTCTTTTATTCATGCTTGTGTATTTGTAGTTTTCCCCGCATTCATCCCCATTTTATAGCATTCTTTGCTATATTTCAGTGTTTATTACAGTCTTTCATGTCTTGACAAACCCAACCCCCATCCTACAACCCTTACTCCGTAACCCAAAACATTCATCATCTTCCATCTTGTTCATTTCCTCCTTCTTCCCACTTGACATCCCTCTCACAACCACTTCCCATATCTCAGCCTTCAGTTCACATCTTTGTACCTGACCAGGATGTCGAAAATCGGGGGCCAAGCATGTTGCGACTTTGCCCAAAGTGAGGATGTTTTACATGCCGCCTTAGCCCCATCCCCTTCCCTTTTGTTTTGGTTTTGGTTCTACCTGCAGGGGCTTGTTTTGGTGGCTCAGATTTGTTGGCTCTTCTCCGATATGGCAGTTTTGGGTTGGGGGATTTTCCTTACTACTAGTTATTTTGTGGTGCGACTACTTCATCGAATTCCACGCGGAGTGGATTTTCTTCGTGCAATTACCTTTGTGGTCGTTGGCGAGGTAATGGCATCGACAGCGGTCGGTCTTTGCTGCCTGCGGCTCTGGGTTTTTGTCATGTCTATTTTTTTGTTGAATGGGCTTTGGCTCTCCCCACTTTATTGGGCTAGTTTGTTGTATTTGTATCGAGCCATTCTCATTCAATGAATTTGCTTGTCCGTTGTCCAAAAAGAGATTTTCAGAGGCGCATCACACTTTCGATCAATTTACCATAAAAAACCCTGCCGCGAGCTCGGTAAGATTTCTTCCTAGTTGATAAGCTTATTTCACCGTTCGTACTTCGTACTCCATATTGTGGCAGCAATACTTCCAAATTCTTATCAGAAATAAACAACACTTACGAAAATGAGAGAAAGAAAATCTGCAAATACAGACTTGTCTGAAAAAAAATACGTGAAATGCTGGCATTTCAGAAGCTTATCCAGGGAAGTTTATGGATTCAATATAGGGTTAGGATCAGCCACCCATTTTTCAACACACATTTTATAACACAACTCACTTTATAAATTATTTTTAATGATCCATACAGTTTAAAATGAGGATCCTCTTCGGATCCACTTTGTAAGAATCCTGTGAACTTTCAAATTATGTCCGTTTATTGTATATTATGCGTTACAAATTATTTTAAATATTTTACTTAAAATTAAACCTGAATAGTACCTGATGAAAACTGACAGTATGATATATGATGAATGAACACGATTCAAAGATTTGTAAGATTCTCACAAAAAGGAAGGGAGGATCCTCATTCAATATTTTAATATATAGCCACCCCCTCAATGCACGGATATCCACAAGAGTCGACAGGGCTTTGTGCGACATACTCAAAAGCCAGCCGTCTCCTACAGACAAGGCACACGTAATTCCCTTCCCATGCAGCTTACGCTACGTGTCAATATTGGTCCATCCTCTATACAAATACACGGATTTCTCTCGTGGAAGCTTACGTTACATGTCATATATTGGTCCATCCTCTATACAAATACACAGATTTCTCTCCTCCAATTCAGAAAATAGATAACACCGCTAAACCTAAACCCTAAACACCGGCCGGTAGCTAGCTATAAAGCCAAAAAAAAAAAAAAAAAAAAGAGAGAGAGAGAGGAAAAATTAAGATAAATGCCACAGATGGAGAGGAAGCTGGAAACACCCAGTGAGATAAAGAATGATCAGGAAAGCAAAACCGACCATGAGGAACAACAGAAACACAGCAAGGAAAAAGATGAGCAGAAGGAGGAAGACGACTCACTTCCTCTAATGGCGTTGAACCACGTATCGAGGCTGTGCAGAAATGTGGAGCAGTCCGTGGATTTCTACACCAAAGTGTTGGGGTTTGTCAAGATTGAGAGGCCACCAGCTTTTGATTTTGATGGGGCTTGGTTGTTTAATTATGGAATTGGGATTCATTTGGTGCAGTCTGAGGATGAGGAGAGGCTTCCACCTAATCAAGATCACTTGGATCCCATGGACAACCATATCTCTTTCCAGGTTCCAAAATAAACTAATTCAAGTTATTCAGTTTTTCTTATTGGAAAAATTAATTTCTACATGTACAGGTCGATTTTTTAATTTTTTTTAAACACAACCTTAAATTTACTATTAAGCGTAGGGAGTATGGTCAAACCACACAATCAGCCAGTCATAGTAATTTGGTTTGAATTTTTTGTTGACACAAGTCGAATCTAAGATATTTTACTTGTGAATGGAAATGCCACCATATTGTTGTACTAACTGATGTACTTGACGATTTGTTGAGCTTTTTATTTGAGAAGACAAATTTAGATGAATTTAGTTTGGAGTACTTTCGTCAATTAGTTTGAATTACTTGCAGTGTGATGACATGGAAGCCATAGAGCGGAAGTTGAAGGACCTGGATATATACTACATAAAAAGAGCAGTAGAGGATGGCGAAAACGGAACCACAATCGACCAACTCTTCTTCAACGATCCAGATGGATTCATGGTTGAGATGTGCAACTGTGAGAATCTCAAGCTTGTTCCTGCAGGTTCCTTGGGCAGAATAAAGCTCCCAGTTGATAGGCATACTCCGCCTGTTGAACTGAACCAAAACGACAGTGGCAGAGGCAATGACAACGATACTAAATAATTAAGTTGTTGATGCTTCTTTTAAATTATCAACATATGCATGCTAATGTTAACTGTTAAGGGTAGCTTGGTTAGTTGGCAATTTTCATGGAGATTTTTTTTCTTCTTTTGGGCTGGTTTGTTTGAATGTGTTTCTAAAAGCAGTTATGAACAAGCCATATATTTCTTTTATGCGTGTATTTTTATTCATTTGTTTTGACAATTCTCTTTTTTTAGTAGAATACAATAGCTTTCAAATATAATGTATTATACAAATTTCGAAAAATTCAACGGTATAAACTTTGAAAGATGATATATTGTAAGATATGTTTCTTGTCATCAAATTTCATTCATGAGATGATGCTCAACCTAAAAGTCGGTTCTTCTTCTTATCTTGTAAAAAGAGGTATGGCAATATAATGTAGAGTTAAAAATACACCATTGAATTTGAGTTTGATATTGATATTTCTTAAGCTGTGAATCTGTTTGATCATGATCATCTTAACTAGCTTTTTTTGAACCCAAAAGAAGTGGATAATCATGATGCACCACTAGTTATCCTTCTTTTTAGAGAAAAAAAAACACCATTAAGCAAAATAGTGTATACATACACTTCACATTTGTTAAAAGTGATATACGTGACAGGCACGATGCTCAGCACATTTGTTAAAAGTGATATACGTGACAGGCACGATGCATTAAGCAAAATAGTCAATTTCATTTTATTTTTGTCTAATCATCCGTTGGTAAAAAGATTAGCAAAGATTTCTAAATTTTTTATTCTTCTTAACTTATAAGATGTTTTATGTTCGAATCTTTGTATATATCCTTACAATCTAAAGACATCGGAGTACAAATGACCTGAAATTGTTGAGGTCAATCCACTCAAATAAAAAGCGCCAATAGTTTTGGGCCGGCTATTGTTCATCACCCGCAAAATATAGGCCCAAAATCACCCTTGGTCCTGAAAAAGAGCACAAAATAGGAGAATGCCCAGCATTACACTTGTCATCATCTAGGTGGACGTGCTTACAAAATCCAGAGTCATTCCTCCAAAATCATCCTCTACATCCACACGTTCCTCCCAAATCATTCCCCTACAAAACGCAGCAGATCACAACGTACAACCATCCACAGCGCAAACACCGAAACACCCACAGTGCACCCGACCGCAGAGGATCAAGTATCCCGAACCCGCAACAACACTCGCTGGCCATCGCGTAACGCCAACGATTGCCAAATATCAAAGACGGAGAGAGGAGAGAGAGAGAGAGGCCTCAACTCAGAAGCCAAGTGCACACACAGAGATCACATTCAAAACCAAACCCTAAAAATTCGAAAAATTCGCAGACGGAGATACAAAATTGCCCCAATTCTTCTCTCAGATCCGTTCCCCCAATTCTTCCGATTCCAATAAAGATTGAGTTGGGGTTCGCTCAGTTTTCGAGCCATGGCGTGCGTAAAGGGGGTGAATCGATCGGCCTGCGTGGCGCTTGCTCCGGACGCGCCGTACATGGCGGCAGGGACGATGGCCGGAGCAGTGGATCTGTCGTTCAGCTCCTCCGCCAACATTGAGATCTTCAAGCTTGATTTACAGTCAGAAGATCGTGACCTACCGGTAGTGGGCGAGTCGACGAGCTCTGAGAGATTCAACAGGTTGTCGTGGGCCAAGCCCACTGGATCGGGGTCTCAAGAATTCGGCCTTGGGCTCATCGCTGGTGGACTCGTTGATGGCACTATTGATATCTGGAACCCACAGACTCTGATCCGGTAATTGGATTTGAAGTTGCCGTTTGCTTTTCGTTTCGATTGGGATTGAATTGAATCGAAATGAATTGAGTTTTGCTTGTAAAGTTCGGATTATCTGTGTGGATTTGGAATTTGGGTTTTCGTTTGGGTGTTGGAACAATGTGGGAAAGTGGAAAGTTTTGCTAATTCTGTAGTTTCTTGGTGCTTGACTTTGATCTGAGTGAGTGGTTTTTTTGGGGTGAAGGGAAATGGGGTTAAAGGTAGCTGATATTGCGGTTTATTTTTGTAGTGTGAGTGATTAGATCTTATCTTAAGCTGTGATTAAATGCCCAGTTCCTTTTTTTTTATTTTCATTTTTTGGGAGTGAAATGATATGTTGGAATTTTCTTGGTTGCTGGAAGTCTGAATATGTCGCTAATGTGAATTGGGATTTTCATGAATTCTATTGTGAAGATGAAATCTTGGGCGTATTCTCTGACAGAACGCGTTTGAACATTTGCAGTTCATTATGTTATTTTATGGTTTAGGTTCCTTGGTAATGTGTATGTTTACTTGAAAATTTTGCATTTGGCTTATATTTTCAGTGTATTTGTTAGTAGTGCCATAATCTGAGCCTCCTGCTGGATTTAGTTAGATTTGATCTTTCCCTTACAAAATTATGCGTGGAACTACATGCCCTCTGGTTTTGTGGAATTATTTTTGTATTTCAGAAAGCATTTTTTGGTGTGCTTTGGAAGGGCCTTATTTTTTATTCTTTCATATCCTTAGTCCCGAGGCAGGTGTAAGTGCTTCAGTTGGACATCTCACAAGACATAAAGGCCCTGTAAGTATTCTTCATTTTCAGATGCATGTCTTTTTGGTGATTCTTACAATGCTAGGACATCTGATCACTACGTAGGGTATTTTTTTTCAAACTCTAAACCTTTATTCTTGTTATTTTATTCCAGGTTCGTGGTCTTGAATTTAATGCAATTGCACCCAATTTGCTTGCATCGGGGGCTGATGATGGTGAAATTTGTATATGGGACTTGACCAATCCTGCAGAACCATCTCACTTTCCACCTCTCAAGGTTTGTGCTAATTAGTTGTCAGTTTTCTGAAGTATTGCAAACTCTTTCTCTGTAGTCGGTATTATATTCTTTATCCTCAATTTTTGGTGTGGTTCTATTTGGCCACACAGATTTTTAGTTTATTCTGGCCTTAGAGCCTTTGATTTGGTTGTCATACTTCACCTTACAGTCTACCTGAAATGCACTTGTAGAGTACAATAGTTAGACATCATTAAAGATGTTTACAGTTTTGTTACCCAAGGGTAGCAAAAGAAATAGGACTACTAGTTTTTACAGTATGCATCACAATGAATGAGAAGCAAGTTGGATTTAGTAATCAATTGTAGATGTAGTAATCAATATACAATCATGATAAACATAAGGAGGTGGACAATTGGAAAGGATGAGAGGTCCCTTTCTTCAAATTATTCTCATTACCTGTGGACGCCTATGTTGATTTTGACCGTATTCCTTATTTTACAAGAGAAAGTCTATAATTAGATCGCTTTCTGTCTCTGTCTTTGCATGAAATGATTTTTCTCTCTTGATTTGTTATAGTCATGAATATATTAAAAGCAATCTGGACATCATCTGATCCAAAGTGTGATGTCTTTATGCAGGGTAGTGGTTCTGCTGCCCAGGGTGAGGTTTCATTTTTATCTTGGAATAGCAAGGTCCAACATATATTAGCATCCACTTCATTAAATGGGACAACTGGTGAGAAATATACCTTTTCTCTTTCGGTACTTGTTGTATAGTAGTTTTATTTATTGTTAGAATTTAATATTTTGAATTTTTCAGTGATATGGGACCTGAAAAAGCAAAAGCCAGTGATAAGGTGATTTGATTATATTCAACTGTGAATCTATTATATTAAAATCTCAACGATTATTGGGATTGGTCATTTCCATTACCTAACTTGACATTGCTTGACCGGCAGTTTTACAGATTCAGTTAGAAGACGGTGCTCTGTTTTGCAGTGGAATCCTGATATTGCCACTCAGCTAGTTGTTGCTTCAGATGAAGATGGTTCACCATCTCTGAGGGTAATGATATTGAAGTAATATTCTATTTGTTTAGTGGTCAAACATTTTAACATTTATGTTCATGCAGCTGTGGGATATGCGTAATATAATGTCACCAGTTAAAGAGTTTGTCGGGCACACAAAAGGTAACAACAACAACAACAACAACAAAGCCTTTTCCCACTAAGTGGGGTCGGCTGTATGAATCCTAGAACGCCTGTTAATGATTCTTTGCTTCCTTTCTTTTTGTTTGGGAGCAGTTTTTGCTTTGGGTTTCATAAAGCTGTTTTTATTCTAGTGCTAATTTCCATTATAATGGAGTGGGGTAGCAGAACTATGGGGTAGAGTAAGATACTGGGCATCAGTTTCGAATGAGTTCATGGATTATTCTCTTTCTCATATAGTGTGGGATATGTTAGCAGCCGTGAAATGATTTTGGTTGAGGTTCTGTTACTCATAAATAGATCTACTTGAGAGGTCTTAGCTAGTTTTGCTAGATGGTGGATTTCTTATCCACTATTTTGTAATTCATGTTATTGTTTTAATAAATTGTTATCATTTCTTCTCCAAAAAAAAAAAAAAAATTACTGGGCATGGGAACAGGTCAGAGGAGCTGTTAAAATATCCTTCTCTACAACATGATATGCTATGAGATTTTTGTATAGCCCTTCCCAATGTGGTTTGAAATCAAATTGCATTCAAATATGAAGTGGATAATAAGTCTTATGAACCTGGAAGGATTTATGAAATTAAGGGCATGCCACATATTGTTCATTAGAGCCTCAAACTGCTAGTCTACTTGGGTTTTCTTTTACTTTAGTAAACAAGATCCATTCACGGTCACTAATTGTGAAAGAGGGGGTGCGAGAGAGCGCCAAGATTTTCAATGGCCACTCGGATATCATGCCTTATGTGCATGATTGTACTTGATTAGTGGCTTTTTTAGGTTAAGGCTTTGAGGCTTTCTTAAATAGTACACAAGTTTCCCCATTATGTTTCTATTTCTGCTTTTAGGAATTGTTGTGTCAACTCGTGATCCATGTGTTTGAACTTGCATTCAATTATTTTTGGAACTTGAAAGTGCTGTTACTGATATTATTTTGATCAGAAGTTATTCGGATATGCTTACAACTCTGTTACATACCCATCTTATCCCAGGTGTAATTGCAATGTCTTGGTGCCCGAATGACAGCTCTTATCTGCTTACATGTGCCAAGGATAATCGAACTATTTGCTGGGACACAGTTTCTGCAGAGGTATGGTTTTTACCCGCTCTTCAAGGAGGCCAATATTTTTGTTCTGCACCTTTCCTACACTTTAATCTCTTCTGTACTTTTGGTTTCAGTGAGGTGCACTATCCTCTTCTG